TTATTTAAACTGTTATGTTTATTCATATCATGATCTGATCACCATACTCAATATATCCCATATGCATGGGGGTATTGGGGTAATGATACAAAAGGTTTGCTCGGCTAGACCCTCTTTCACTCAGACTCAGCCCCCCCCCCAAACTCAGCCCCCCCCCCCAACCCCCCCCCCCCCCCCCCCCTGAAAAAAATTCAGCCCCCCCCCCCCGAAACGAAATCCTGTCTATGGGCCTGTGGCAGGGGACAGCTAGTCCTCAATAAAATGAAAAATGGTGTTCTGATCATCTAATACCTTGTATTATGTGATTAAACATGTCAGCATACAATTTTCTCATTTTATTGAAGATGAGGAAATTTGTAAAGATTCTTTACACTCCTGAGAGCAATTGGTGTGTTGTAAAGAATGTATTCCAATTGTTGGTTTGTCTATGCCAAGTATAGGCAACTGTGGGATGCTTATTTTACTCTCTTTATTTTTTTCTTTTATTATATATATTTATTTTAATACATACACAACATTTATAGTTCCCACCACCATGAGGATTGTTTTCTTTTACATATTAATCCTTTTTGAGATGAACCTTATAGATTAACATTCTATATAACATTTGTCTCCTATTTTTTTCTTTTTCTTAAATATTTTTTAAAATTAATTATTTGACACAATCTCATATATAATCAGAAAATATACGTTCAGAAATACTGGAACATGTCTAGATCTGTATGTAGACAGCAACTTGTACAAAGTAAGTATAACATATTATACCATTCACTCGAGTTTAAGACACTTTCAAAGGAAAATCCATGCAAACTATTCCTAACTAGAACTGTGTCTATCTAGCTAACATCAATAGTGTCATCAGCTACTCCCACCCCCATATCATATGCAAAAGATAAATGCCAATGTATTTTTTTGGGGGGGGGGATTCCTTACAAGGCAAGAAATGTATCTTCATGATCAAGATGGTTTCAGAGTATGCCCAAATACATCTTGATATTACATCAATAAAAAAGAAAACAAGGATGGGAGCAGGCAACAAAGTACTCTCTTATGACTAGAGCTTTCTGACTATTTTACATACACAGGCATGGACAACTGCAAAGACCCAGTTTGCGTAAATTGAAAGATGTCCAAAACCATAATCAAATGTTTCATTAGCATTGTGCCAACATATACAACTTTTCCAGGAATCACTTTTTTCTATTGTATAGCATTCCAGCTTGTCCACATATGATTACATATTTTTTTCCTTTTTTTCAATTCTTTCCCTTCTCTTTTCTTTTTTCCCCCTTTTTCTCCCTTCCTTTTCTTTTCTTGAGAACCATACATAAACATCCACATAATATTCACATCTCAGGAGTTCCACCATAACACATATACCACGGAAAAGAAAGTCACACCAAAAGAGCAACAAAGGATTCCTCATCATTTCTTTCTTCGTTATTATTACATTTAATATTTTACTCTATTATTATTGGAAGGATACGTAAGCACATTTACATTGAAGAAGGTTAGAATAATGGTTTCATCAGAGTTGAACAATCTTATCTTAAATTACAGCTTTTTGTAAATATTCCAAAACATTGAACCTCCGGATGCCTCAATTAATGCAATTTTTGGTATCTATTTTTATTTTGAAAGTTACCAGTAGCTGCTGCATTTTCCATCCTAGTTTTCCCAGTGTTTGTGGTAAAACTAGGTGCCTCAGCTTATATTTGATTCGGCTCATACTCCAGTGTATACGATAAGTTAAAAAATGGGAACAAGTCCACTATAAAGCGTAAAATATGTTTGCTTTTTTAAAGGTTCACGGAAATCAAAGACAGTTCAGGAAAACTTGACCTCAACATGCTCTCTCCTGCTAAGAAAGAATATTGGGCTATGCTGGCCTACAATCGGTCTAAGCTTTGCAATATTCTGATGTCCAACGAACTCAACCGCCGCCTGTCTCCTCACGGCGTGACGTCAAATGCCGTGCACCCGGGAAATATGATGTATTCGTCCCTCCATCAGAACTGGTGGGTGTATACCCTGCTGTTCTCTTTGGCTCGTCCGTTTACCAAGTCAATGGTAGGTGAATGGTGTTTTATACCTCTTTGGATCATTTCTGAAATCTACTCACTTTTTGGAGATTTGTGGATATTTGTGTCATTTAAGCATCTTCTATATTAGTTGGCTTTGGAAATGGTTTTATGACTGTAAATGTGTACAAATGTGCTTGCCTTGCTGGTCTGCTTTTGGTGCTTTGAAAAACCATTGTTTGAACCATGTTGGATGGGTTCATATGCAGATGATGAATGCTGGAACATTAGAAGACTAATGGAGTGCTACATGGGCATGAGTTGGCATGGGAAGGGAGGAAAATTCAAACCTCTTTCAGAAAACAGAACAGAATAAACTTGCCAAAGTATAGGAACCGTTATCTCCATGGCATCTCCTGAACTTTCACGATATCTAAAATTAGGAGCCATTATCAGATACTTGCCACAGTTCTGCCTTTAAACAAAATGTTTGTGTTGGCAAGTAGGGAAGTAGCAGAAAGCATTGCATGTTCAGGTTACAAGGACTTAGCAGATGTTTCCCTCCTCTGAAGTTTTGAATCTTGTTGCTTCAAAAATGGCTAGAAATTGGAGGCGATTGGGTTACGCTTCCTGTTTCAGTGCAGAGCCAACCATTGTGCTTGAGTTGTAACAGATGTACTGCTCGGTTTTTGGAAATATAAGACTGGTGCTGTTGCAGAGTTAGAAATTATAACCGAAAGTGGCCAAGAAATTACACGCTTAGTATGGGATAGGAGAACTCGGATAACTTTTTCCGTATGCTTTTCGGTGCCCCATTCCAGCTGAGAAGGACCACTTGGATAAGTGGATTCAATCAGTCTTGTTTTGTTTGCTGAATTGGTTGCAATCACTTGGGGGTGCTTATCTGAAAATACATGTTGCTGAGTTGTTTGTTTGGTTTTTTTTTTGAGTAAGAATTAAGTACAGTAGAGTCTCGCTTATTTATTTGTTTGTTTGTTTGTTTCTTTACTATACTTCTATACTGCCATCCTCAGCCTGAGGGCGAATCAGGGCGGTTTACAAAACGGCACAATTTGGTGATCACAATAATACAAAAAACAGTTAAAACATTTAACATAAATAAAACTAAATAAGTAATAAAACTGATAAAAACATAGATCCTCCACATCTCATTACCAAACTCATTATCCAATCGCATTGTCCAGTCGTTCCGAGATCAAGGTTTGTCTGCTACACTGCATTTGAGAAAGCCTGCTCAAAAAACCATGCTTTGACTTTTTAATGAAATTTTAAGAGGGTGGGGCCGATCTAATGACCCTAGGGGCCACCACTGAGAAGGCCTCTCGTGCCCACTAACCAAACCCGTGAAGAAGGCGGGACCGAGAGCAGGGCCTCCCCAGAAGATCTTAAATTCCTACATGGTTCATAAGGAGAGATACGTTCGGACAGATAAGCAGGGCCCAGAACCGTTTATGGCTTTATAGGCTAAAGCCAGAACTTTGAATTGTGCTTGGTAGCAGACTGGCAGCCAGTGGAGCTGACGCAACAGAGGAGTTGTGTGCTCCCTGAGCACCGCTCGTGTTAACAACCTGGCTGCCACCCATTGGACCATTTGAAGCTTCCGAACGGTCTTCAAAACCCCACGTAGAGAGCGTTGCAGTAGTCTATACGGGATGTAATCGGAGCGTGATGTACCGTGGCCAAGTCACACTTCCCAAGGTACGGGCACAGCTGGCGCACAAGTTTTAATTGTGCGAATTCTCTCCCAGTCACCGCCAAGACCTGGGGTTTCAGACTCAGCGATGAATCCAACATAAATGTGCTGGCAGACTGTTGGATAAGTGAAAATGTTGGATAATAAGGAGGGATTAAGGAAAAGCCTATTAAATGTCAAATTACATTATGATTTTACAAATTAAGCACCAAAAGATCATGTTTTACAACAAATCAGCATATAAAGCAGTTCACTACACAGTAATGTTATGTAGTAATTACTGTATTTACGAATTTAGCAGCAAAACAGACATGGGTTCTTTCTTTCTTCCACCCTGGTCATTATTCTGGGCGGGAGGCAGACTGTGTTGGATAATCCAGAACGTTGGATAAGCGAGACTCTACTGTATTTCTCCTAGTGTAACCAACCATGCCCATTTTCTGGCAAAACCAAAGGCGTACTAGAGCTTTAGTATTTATTTATTTATTTACAGTCTTGAAGGTACCGCGAGGGATGTAGAGGCTGTCTTTTTTCTGTTTTTTTTAAATAAAGGAAATATCAACTTTTTGCATGAAACTTGGTTTTTGTATTTAGAATAGTTTCTTGGAATTTTAGAAGGGTGATTGTCTTCTGTGGTGCATGTTTGTTTGAACTTCAGCCAATAGGAAGTACTATCTAAGCATAATTTATAATTGTTCTTTACACTTCTAAAAAGAATATGGAAATTCACATTCAGCCATTGCTCTCACTGTTTTTGTACCAGAGGATTTAGAAAGAGGATTCTTTAATGCTAGTATTAGTAAGCTTTTATGTTGATCATATCTGCTGTTTGTATATGTTGTAGTTCAGCCCATGATTGTGTCTGATGTTCATGATGGGAATGGGGATGAAGGATTTTCTGGTTCTGGGTCTGTTGGCAATGGGGATGAGTTAAGCCCAGACGAGAGGCCTGAGATGTCTCATGAGGATTCACAAGGTCGCATTCCTGGGAGAGGCCCTCAACAGTCTTTCTCAGAGAAACTATCTTCTGAAGATGAATTGTCAGAATTTAATGAGAATGAAGATAGAAAGCAAGTCTTTTGTAAACAGAGGCAAAGTTCTAAAGCCCAACAAAGGTCAATTCATCTGCAGGACAAGAGAGATAAGAAACCCTTATCTGGTTGTAAGGGCAAGGGAAATGCTTTCCTTTTGATTCTGGGTTCAGGAAAAAGTTTTATATTGATACAAGGGGAAAAGTTGCCTCAGTCTTGTCAACGTTGGAATTTCATGACGGTATTGTTTCCAAGTGTTCCGAGTTTCATATACCAAGTTTTGCCAGGCTCCTGATCTGTGCATTGGATTTTCATGCGGCCTTGTTCTATGGTTTTTGTACCTTTGAATCTTGTGTTTTACCTTGTGTCTTGAAGCTCATGGACTATTATTTGTCTTGGGACTGTATTGTTTTTTACCATTTTGCTGCTTTGCCTACATATATTCTTCAGTAAACTGCTTGTTGCTTTTACCAAGTTGTTGTGGTGTTTAAGGTCAGAGGTGTTCCTGTTCTGAAATACTACCGTATACAGGTTGAGTATCCCTTATTTGGAACCACAAGTATTTGGAAATTTCATTTCGTTTTGTTTTTTTAAAAAATTGGAATAGCTGTATTTGCATATAGGTAGACAATGAGATATCTTGGATACGGGCTCCAAGTTTAAAAAAAAATGGAATTCAGTTATTTTACTCTCATACCCTGCAGGCAAATTTCATGCTGTATTTTACTCGCATACCCTGCAGATTGAACCACCAGAAACCAAGGGTATGACTATCTCTGTGATCCCTGTGGACAATTTTGAATTTTACAGTATTTCAGATTTTGGGACTCAGGATAAGGGATGTTCAACCTGCATTGTATTTGGTATAATTGAAATGATGACTTGTGTGATGTCTTGACCTAAGTTGCTTTCCCTCCTCTGTTCATTTCGTTGTTTGGCCTCTCTTTGGGGTGGGCTGTTCCGTTTGTGCTGAGTTTTAGGGGGGGGGGAGCTTAAAATCCCCCTAGAGACCTGGCTCTGATGGTTTAGCCCTGCTGCCTCAGAGCTTGTTGCAAAGGTTTCTTCCCTCCACTTTTTTGAAGCAGAGCTTTAGAGAAGAAGGGCCAGAAATTGTCTGGGTTTTTGGCCTGGCAATCTAAAACAGGCATTCTATAGCACACGCATACCATAGCTGTCGTGACCCAGAAGCCTTAATTAAGCCAAACACAGAATGAGAGTTCAAAAACACAGCTTCTTCAAGCACTTAATTTCAGTGCAAAAGAGTCTCTGTAAGAACTTAGCATCAAAAGCAGGATGAAATCAGGAACAAAAATATAATCCAGATTATAGCACTGCCTTATAATGTGGATTAAACATAAAGTTAAGCAAACTGCTTGCAAAAAGGTAAAGCACAAAAACACAGTCACTGAAGATAGAAAAACGAAGTTCCAAAACTAAGAAATGTTTCAGTCACAAAGTTATTAAAGTTCAAAGTCCAGAAAGCCAAAAACGTAGTCAAACCGGTCTGTGGTCAATCCGTTGGTAAACAAAGGCTGGAACGCTGGAATCATCGAGGAAGCAGGAGTTGAGGAACACACGAAGCTGTAGCCCGGGACCCAAGGTTGAAAATTGGCAGCACAAAGGATTGTGTCCTATAAAGACACTTTGCCTTCTGCGAAGTACAATCCAAACAGAACCCACTTTTATCTCAAAGTTCTTCCTCAGAGCTTGATGAGCTCCCCACCCTCTTGTCATCACTCTCAGCTGCCCCCAAACCTGCAGCTGAGTGCCCATCCCTCCACCTCTGCCAATGATTGTCAGGGTTCAGATCTTGCCAAGAGTCCCCTGGCTGCCAATTCCCAAGTGAACCCCTCAAATTCCTCACTGGAGGTGAGTTGGTTACAGATGTCCCTTATTTGTTGCACATGGGTCCAATCTAATTCCTCCTCCTGTTCCATATCACTCCCAGACCCAGAACTCCCTTCAAACCCAAGGAAATCTTCATCCTCCGTTGGTGCACAAAGTATTTCCCGAATATGTTTCCTTTGTAATTCCCCCTCAGATTCTGGCTCGCGAGCAGCCCTTTTTACACCTCTGCTCACTTCCCCATCCGTCTCATAATCGGAGAAGCCTGGAAATGTGTCAGTATCACTTGGAGCCATAATGATTTCCCTAATGTGCTGACGCTGCTGTTCTCCCTCCGACTCCCGAGTAGACCCATTCTCCCTGCTACCAGGAGTAGCAACTCGACCAACACGCTGAACTACAACAATAGCCTAGTATTTACCATCAGAACCTTGTATTTACCTTATAGCTTTGTACATA